GAACTTCCCACGCTGGAGGAATGGCAGATGAAACTTATGGACTATATGGAATTGGCGGAAATGACTGGCAGAATCCGTGACCAGGGAGAAGAGTCGATGGAGGAAGATTGGAAGAAATTCAAAGACTATCTTCAGAAACACTGCAAAATTAAGGAATGTTAGAGTGATGTTGGATTGAAAATAAGTGGTTTCCAGTTGTACAGGTTAAAGCTAGGATAGATTAAGATTAAAGATTAAGATTGGGAAAAATTTAAAGGTATATGACATTAAGAACAAGGATTATGTTTAAAAAAAAAAAAAGCTGAAGTTATATAGTTTAATATTTCATTAAATTAAAGATTGGGTTTAAAAAAGTGGAAAAGAAACTGCTGGACAAATAATGTAGATTGGAATACAAAAGAGGGAGGTATGAGGAAGTCCAGAAAATAAGTAATTCAAAATTGGGAATGTAAAAGAGAGTTTGTTTTAAATTGTTATGTTGTGTGTTTTTACTGTTAAATTTTGTATTGTTTTTTTGTGTGTGTTGTTTTTTCTTTTTTCTTTGTTTAAAACTTTAATAAAAATTATTTAAAAATAAATAAATAAATAAAAAAATAGACCACTAGCAAATTCCATGAGAGCGGCTCAAGAAAAACAGTAAAAAATCCCCCCCAAATGCTTCAGCAGGTCTGACAAAAGCAATAACCGAGCAAAGTTCAACGACGTCCTAGTGATTGAGGAAGCGAGCCAAAGACGAAGCCCTCTGGTTTGCTCCTCTGTTTAAACAGACCCGGCTATGCCCCATGCCCTCCAGGAAGTGGAGCAGATTTCTGAGCCGGACTGGAGACTGGTTTTTTAAAAATTTTATTTGGTGTGTGTTGGAAGAGGGGTAGTCTTATACGGTGAGTATATCCCAAACTCTATATTTTAACTGGAAAAGTTGGGGGTCGTCTTATACACCCAGTTGTCTTATACGCCGGAAAATACGGTACATATGTACAAATGGAGGAGCATTTGAGGACAACTCCCTGCAGGCAGAAAAGGAGTGTGTGAGGGACGCAATAGTAAGATAACTTTAACGACAGGAAACAAAGAAGAACAACCAGTTTAGCCATTGCTCACTAGGATGATATTCTTCGAACTTTCAGTGAACAAAACGGGAAAGAAACTCTAGGGAGAGGTAAGAGAACAATAATACTATTGGAATTATGAGAATGGCTCGTCTGAAAATCCTCCTTCCCTTCTCCATTAGCATGCATTTGCTAGAATTAGTACATAAATGATAGCTTTTCAGTGGTTAGTTAAGCTTGAAGTCCCTCAGGCATGCTTTCAAAATTATTTAGGTTTTCAAATTGCGGGAAAGAAGGTTCACAGAAAAGGAAGGAAATAGCACTCGGTCGTTTCCATTCTCTTCTCTCCGTAGCTAGAAACATGCCCTTTTAAGATTGAAGACAGAACGAAAGGGAAGCAGCAACTCTCAGGGTACCAGAGCCTGCACTCGAGGGTGGAAAATAATACGCTGGCATTTAGACGTTCAGCATGCTCTGTTTTTGATTCCTCGCGATTTTCAGAAGGGAGTCTCTCCTCCCGCGAGTCGTGGCCTCCTACCTATGTGCCTGTTGATGTGTCCCACAACCTTCCCTCGGCTGAGGGACGTCACCCGCAAGCTGTTGTCCCAGTGGCCTCCGCTGAAGAGGAGCTTCCCGTCGTGAGAGACCGTCAACGTCTTGGAGGACACTTCCACACCTGGAGCAACGGGTCCATACAGGAAGCGCTGGGTCCTAGCAGGAGGGAGGGAGGAAGAGAGATAGATGTTCCTGCCAAGCAGCGAAGCCTGCATTTTAGGCAGGTGAGGAAAAGGGATCAGGGACCCATCGAAACACCTGCTGAAACCGCACACCTCGCCACTGAAGACTCCTTTACCTAGGCCAGTGTTTCTCAAATTCCCCAGCTGTTGCTAGACTACAACTCCCATCATCATCCCTGACCAGGGCCGGATTTAGGTTTGACGAGGCCCTAAGCTACTGAAGGTAATGGGGCCCTTAATATGTCCAGCTGTCCTTTGTCAACAACAAATTGTCACTGTTTTTTGTGTGTGTTGAATATATGCTATATGGTACTTTACGGACCTCATAGGTATCTCAAGCCACCTGAACATAACAAAATATGTATTTTATCAAAGTAATTGTTGAACTGAAATACCATTAAAGGTAAAGGGACCCCTGACCATTAGGTCCAGTTGTGGATGACTCTGGGGTTGCGGTGCTCATCTCGCTTTATTGGCCAAGGGAGCCGGCGTACGGCTTCCGGGTCATGTGGCCAGCATGACTAAGCCGCTTCTGGAGAACCAGAGCAGCACACGGAAATGCCGTTTCCCTTCCCGCCGTAGTGGTACCTAATAATCTACTTGCACCTTGACGTGCTTTCGAACTGCTAGGTTGGCAGGAGTAGGGACCGAGCAACGGGAGCTCACCCCGTCACGGGGATTCGAACCGCCGACCTTCTGATCGGCAAGTCCCAGGCTCAGCGGTTTAACCCACAGCGCCACCTGCATCCCCCCATTTGTATATATAGCCCAGAATAAATATACTGCACTGAAGAACCTGGAACTCTGAGCATTTCTGCTAAAGCGCCGCGGAGAATTCGCGACAAGGTGGGAGCGAAGCCCAGACTCACTTTGCGTTGGAGACGGTGGGGTCTTTGGTGAAGCTGAAATAGTTGGAGATGTTCTTGTCGTACGGCAGCCAGCCGTGTGTGCCTAGCAGCCCGTTGGCACTGACAGTGACCTGGAAGAAGTTGTGGGGGGGGGGCAAATTAGTCAATAAGAAAGGCAGGGAAGCAGCTCACGGCGACGCAGGGGAGATGGGGAAGGAAGAGGGCAAACAGGAATTGCAGCATCCTTCCTGGGACAAGGGGTTGCCCACCCAAAGAGCTGTAGAACTGTTGCAGAATTGGAAGGGGACCCCCCAAATGTCATCTAGTTCAACCCCCCTGCAAGGAGGCCTTGGGAGGAAAGCATCAATTTTCTGATCGGAGGGCCTTCTCGGTGGTGGCACCCGCCCTGTGGAACGCCCTCCCAGCAGATGTCGAGGCAATAAAACTACTTTACTTTTAAAAGACAACTGTTTAGGGAAGCTTTTAATGTCTGACGCTGTATTGTTCTTAATATTTGGTTGGATGCCTGGGGAAACCCAGCCAGATGGGCGGGGTATAAATAATAAATTATTATTATTAGTTTGAACCTACCAGCATATCGGGATATCCCTGAGTCATGAAGGAGTGGGCTTGGTTTTTGGGGACCACGGCCTGGACCAGGGGGATCCCGTCGCTGATGCTCTGAAAAAGGACAAGACGAGTCACTGCTTTTTGCCGCTTGGTTTCGGCAAAATCTGTGCTGTGTTACGGTTCCTGCCTTTGTGATAATTCCCCACCACCAGCTACAGAAGAGGAACACACCCATCTCCAGCCTTGCTCTGGGAAAGGAAAGGGAGTCGCAGGAGATAGGCGGGTGGCAATGCCCTTTCATACGTATCATACAATTGAGGGGCACTCAATGGTCATCTAGTCCAACCCCCTTTCAATCTCAAACTAAAGCATCCACAGCCACCCAACCTCTGCTTAAAAACCTCTGAGGAAGGAGAGCCCACCACTTCTTGTGGGGGGTCTGTTCCCCTGCCCAACAGCTCTTGCCACCAGAAAATTCTTCCTGATGTTGAGATGGAATCTCCTTTCTTGTAACTCGAAGTCGCTAGTGCGAGTCCCACCCTCCAGGAACAGGAGGAAACAGGCTTCTTCCATCTTCCACGGGACAGCGCTTCAGATATTTAAAGATGGCTCTCATATCACCTCTCGGTCTTCTCTTCTTCTTGCCCGGGCTAAGCATCCCCAGCTCCTTCGACCGTTCCTCATCAGGCTTGGTTTCCAGACCCTTGACCATCTTGGTTGCCCTCCCTTTGTGCGTGTTCCAACTTGTCAATGCCCTTCTTGAACTGTGGTGTGTTTGCGTGTGCTAGTGGTACCTCTGGTTGCAAACGGGATCCAGTACAAAGGCCCATTCGCAACATGAAAAGAACGCAACCCGCAGCGGCGCGTTTGTGCATGCGCAGGATGTGATACACCGCTTCTGTGCATGCGCGAGCGGAGAAACCCGGAAGTAACCCTTTCCGGTACTTCCGGGTCGCCGCAGGACGTAACCTGAAAGAATGTAACGTGAAGCGGACGTGACATGAGGTATGGCAGTATTCTACACGCGGACACACAAAATCACACCCTGGAGGAAATAGACTTACTTCAGCAAAGAAGGACTTCAGCTCACTGAGGTTCTCAAAGACGTTGGGGGTGGTGGTGTCCAGGCGAGAGAGTCTCTTGGACGCTGCGTTTTTGGCAGAGAGCCGGGCTGGATGGGGCTCCTAGAGGAGAGAGGGAGCAGGATATTTCAAACGGGATATTGGCATGTTGCACCCTATTTAACTTTATGTGTCAAACCTCGGTTTCTTATGGCCCCCGCCTATTTGCTGTCCTGTACAATCTACATGGGATGCGGGTAGCGCTGTGGGTTAAACCACAGAGCCTAGGACTTGCCGATCAGAAGGTCGGCGGTTTGAATCGCCGCGACGGGGTGAGCTCCCGTTGCTCGGTCCCTGCTCCTGCCAACCTAGCAGTTCGAAAGCACGTCAAGTGCAAGTAGATAAATAGGTACCACTCTGGCGGGAAGGTAAACGGCGTTTCCTTGCGCTGCTCTGGTTCGTCAGAAGCGGCTTAGTCATGCTGGCCACATGACCCGGAAGCTGTATGCCGGCTCCCTCGGCCAATAAAGCGAGATGAGCGCCGCAACCCCAGAGTCGGTCACCTTTACCTTTACAATCCACACACCCCATGAGATGAAAAGGTGGTTAACACTATGGGGAACACAGTGATGAAGGCAGGAGGGGGCTTTCCACAGATCATTTCGTAGGCTGACATGCCAAGACATATCCATGTGGGAAAAGCCAAGCAGCCAAAATGATATTGTAATGTATTTTTAATCTTTTGTTGGAAGCCGTCCAGAGTGGGCGGGGTGATAATAATAATAATAGTAATAATAATAATAATAATTTCCCCAGCCACTCTGGACGGCTTCTAACAAAAGATTAAAAATACATTAAATATATTACTATTAAAAGCCGTCAATGGCGCATTAAACGACCAACACTCCCCCTCCCCATTCTGCTGTTTTGCAAATTGGGTACGGCGCTGCTGTCAGTGTCAGGCTAGGACCTGGGAGAGAGCTGGGTTCGAATCCTCCCTCAGCCACAAAGCGCACTGGGTGACCTTGGGCCTGTCACGGCTTCTCAGCCTCACCTACTTCGCGGGGTTGTTGTGGGGTGAAAATGGGGAGGGGGGGACAACTGTGTACACCCCCTTGAGGTCCTTAAAAATGTGGGATATACACGCAATGAAATAAATCTGAAACAGAAGCTGTAAGCGGTGTGTGAAATTTAAAAATAGACCCTATTTTCAATGAGAAGGAGAAGCAGAGAAATGCAAACCAGGGCGTTGCCCGCCTTCTGCCATCTTCCACCTGGGCCTTGCAAAAGGTCAGGTCTGTGTCGCCCCCCCGTTGCCTTCCGGGCAAATATCCGCAGGACACCTTGACGGCTCCTCCTACCTTCAGCAGCTGGCAGGGGGTCTGCCCAAAGTTACTGATGATGCCCTCCAGAGCCTTCCTTTGGGTCTCGTCGGCGATGGCATCCAGGTCAACCGCCCCTGAAATGAATTTTGGGTGCCATGAGGGACATACGAAGTGTGGTGTAAATCAGGACTGGGGGAGCTGTGGCCCGCAAGATGCAGCAGTTAGGGACTCCACTCCATGTTGGAGTAGGATTCGCTCCTGAGCCTTTTTCTTCTCCCGAAGATATCCCACAAGGCAGCGGAGGTTTAGGGTCAGAGTTTTCCTTCTCCTAGATGGGCCCCCTTCCTAGGTACACGAGTCCCATCTGCCCCTCACTTTCCTCTGCAGCCCATGCAAAAATGCCTTCTTGAATAAATAATAATAATTGTTACATTGTGGGTGAACATATCAGCTCTTGTTTATTCACAGGCCAGAACAGAACTGAACTGAAGGGTTCAGCCAGCCTGCTTATACAGAGCTCCACCACAACACAACAGTAGCAACTTTCTGTACTTAGCCAATCACTGAACGTCACTTTCAATCCCCTATTTGCATATGTGGACCTGAGTGAAAACTGTCTACAGTATCCCCCTGCTGGCCCAGGGTGTCCCAGTGTACATAACAATAACAACAACAACAATAATAATTTTATTATTTATACCCTGCCCACCTGGCTGGGTTTCCCCAGCCACTCTGGGCGGCTTCCAACAGAACACTAAAAAGAAAACAAAACTTCAAACATTAAAAACTTCCCTAAACAGGGCTGCCTTCAGATGTCTTCTAAAAGTCAGATAGTTGTTTATTTCCTTGACATCTGGTGGAAGGGTGTTCCACAGGGCGGGTGCCACTACCAAGAAGGCCCTCTGCCTGGTTCCCTGTAACCTCACTTCTCTCAGTGAGGGAACCTCCAGAAGGCCCTCGGAGCTGGACCTCAGTGTCCGGGCAGAATGATGGAGGTGGAGACGCTCCTTCAGGTCTACTGGACCGAGGCCGTTTAGGGCTTTCAAGGTCAGCACCAACACTTTGAACTGTGCTCGGAAACGTACTGGGAGCCAATGTAGGTCTTTCAGGACCGGTGTTATGTGGTCTCGGCGGCCGCCCCCAGTCACCAGTCTAGCTGCCGCATTCTGGATTAGTTGTCGTTTCTGAGTCACCTTCAAAGGTAGCCCCACGTAGAGCGCATTGACCATTGGACCCACGCTTGGTCTCATCAACTCCATCTGCCAGAGCCTGTTTTTGCATTTAGGTAAAATTCCCAACTCACTGAGGGTTTGAGCCCCATCGGCTCCCCTCACCTGGTTTAGCCAGCCAGTCAAAGCCGTTTCCTGGGATTGTGGCTGCTGTTGCATGCAGACAGCTTCTAGGAGCCCCTGGTGAGACAGACTACCTTCGAAGGAGCATGACGTGTCTCCCACCCGAGGTACTACCCCGATACATACACACAAAATCACAGTTGGAAGCGAACCCTGGGGTCACTTAGCCCAACCTGATGCAACAGATTGAAATAAAATTGCAATACTTTATTGTCACTTGTACAGCTTGTATGCAGTGAGATGACACGAGCACCGCCCCCCACTCAGCTCTCTTCGTCTTAATTCCCCTCGTTTACTGACGCACACCCACCAAACCCGAAAGTCAGTTGCCCTGTAGTTCTCTTTTCCTTCAGCAGCCTAACAGCCCACGGATAGAAGCTGTTCTTTACCCTGTTGGTGCGACTAATCCTGCTTCTATATCTTCTGCCCGAGGGCAGGAGATCAACAAAGTGCTGGCCAGGGTGTGAATCATCCCTGAGAAGCTTCCTCACTCTCCTGAGGCAACGTTCTTCTGCGATGTCATCCAGCAGATTCACAGGACAGCCCATAATATCTAGTGCTGTATTCACCACCCTCTGTAGGCACGTCCTATCTGTTGATGTCAAACCAGTGTCCCACACCATGATGCAGTAGGAAAGGACACTTTCTATTGTGGACCGGTAGAAGATCATCAAATGTGCAGATCATCAAACAGGTGCAACAAGGTCCCACCTTACCTTCATACGTGCAGTAATAGAAGACATTCAGCGCTTCCACAGCGGCTGGGCCCCGCTGTTTGTACCCAAAGATCAAGTCAATCCACTCGTGGAGGTGGGCAGACACGTACTCCGACTCCTGACAAGGACACAAGGGGATGATGATGAGATCGAAGCACAGCATAGGCCAGTTTGCATGCCACCCAACCATTAAACAAAAACACCACCGCTTTTCCCGGGGCACAATCTGCTCAGAGACAAATACCGCCGTGCCTTGGAAGCCGAACGCCTTGGCTTCCAAACAAATCGGCTCCCGAACGATCGAAACACGGAAGTGAGCGTTCCGGTTTTCGAATGATTTTTGGAAGCCGAACATCCAGCATGGCTTCTGATTGGCTGCTGTGGGATGCTCCTGCAGCCAATCGGAAGCCGCGCTTTGGTTTTCAAACGGTCCTGGGAGTCGAACGGACTCCTGGAACGCATTCTGTTTGAAAACCAAGGTACCACTGTAACTGAAATGAAGAGACATGGCAAGTAAACATTTCCCACCCAAAATGACACCTGAATTTTTGGATTTTTATTGATATTGATGCTGCATTTTATGTTGTATTTTATGCTGTTTTTAAGTTGCGTTTTAATCAATGTTTTATATTTGCTGTTAGCTGCCCTGAGCCCGGCTTCGGCTGGGGAGGGAGGGATATAAATAAAATATTATTATTATTATTATTATTATTATTATTATTACTACTACTTGTTTGTTTGTTTGTTTGTTTTGCAAAGCCCAATGCAGGTTTTCCCCAAGTCAGGTCATTCTCCTGATCAGTTTCAGCATATTTTTAAATTTTAAAATGGATTTGCATATCGCTAAGATGCCGAGGTGTCCGTGTGAGACTGAAAAGAAGGAATTTAATAAAAGCGCGTCGCGTGGAAAAGGGCATGTTGCGTACTTTATTTCCCTAACTACAGCCAGAATGAAATGGCCTCAGAAAAAAAGATTCAGAACAGCCCTCGACTTTTAGCACCTTGCCCTCAGCAATTACAGCATTTGGGCTTAGTTAAAACTAAAGGAAAAGGAGGGTATTATTATTATTTATAATAATGGACGTGGGTGACGCTGTGGGTTAAACCACAGAGCCTAGGACTTGCTGATCAGAAGGTCGGCGTTTCGAATCCCCACGACGGGGTGAGCTCCCGTTGCTCGGTCCTTGCTCCTGCCAACCTAGCAGTTCGAAAGCACGTCAAAGTGCAAGTAGATAAATAGGTACCGCTCCGGCAGGAAGGTAAACAGTGTTTCCGTGCGCTGCTCTGGTTCGCCAGAAGTGGCTTAGTCATGCTGGCCACATGACCCGGAAGCTGTACGCCGGCTCCCTCGGCCAATAAAGCGAGATGAGCGCCGCAACCCCAGAGTCGTCCGCAACTGGACCTAATGGTCAGGGGTCCCTTTACCTTTTTATTATTATTTATACCAATAAAATCTTTCTCTCTCTCTATTGCCCTGCCTGCCTCCTCTTACCAGGGCTTTACGGTGCTTGTGGATGAAATCTTCTGGGGATTTGGCCCATCTGGGAAGGACGACGTCTCCCACTTTCTCATTCGACATCTGCAGAGAGCCTAAATCAAAGCCTGAAGGGGGGAGGGGGGAAATGTGGGAGAATGCAGCAGGCAGCCAAAACCAGCTATTTCCCCCACCCTAAAACCCCCCCACCTTAGCTCCCCTTTTGCAAACCACACTTCCGATTTCCTGAGTCAAGGACCAGCAACTCACACATGGCATAATCAACCTATGGGACTCGTTACTACAAAGTTACGCATTTTACTGGCGGTCCCTGACGTCTCCCCTTGATCTCTGTTTACCCACTCAAATGTGAAAATATAGGCCAGATTTGCAGAGCAAGGCAGGGATGGGCGGCTTTGAAGCATGCTCACCACCTTTGGGGCAAGGAGTAGCCTTCTCTCTCCCCTTTGGCAAACTCTGAAAAGACCTCATTTTGCAGCTTTCCCAGCCAGATCCCAACGTTAAATTGAGGATGAGAGAGGCCTGACCCGGCCCTGACTGGCTATTACAGGGACTGAACTTGGAATCTTCTGACTCCATGTTTGGATACAAGGCCTCTCCAAATACTTGGCCGCAAGAAAATGATGACTTACCATATTTTTCGCCCTATAGGACGCACTTTTCCCCCTCCAAAAATGAAGGGGAAATGTGTGTGCGTCCTATGGGACAAATGCAGGCGAATGCGCACCGACCCCTCTCACTCTCCAGGCTTCAGGCAGCTATCCACAAGCCTTGGGAGCCCGACAGCAGCCTGCAGCCCGAAACCCGGGGAGCGCAGCGGAACGCACCGCGGGCTTTGGGCAGCTCTCCGCAAGCCTCTCCGCAAGGCTGCTATCTGCAATCCCAAGGCTTGCGGATAGCAGCCTGTTCTGGGGGCTGGGGTCGGGGGAAGCCTGGGGGGGAAATATATTTTTTTTC